GCCGCCGTCTCGCGGGATGAGGGTAGGTGGAGGGGGTTGGGTGTAGTCCGATACACGCTCGCTCATCCGAAAAGGAGGAGAAACAGCCGAGAAATCACCAACTCAATCATGGGGGGTAAGATGAGAGGAATGGCTGGAGGGATGAGATGCACTGTGTGCCTCTGTGCTCTTGCTTTCAGGTGTGCTTGGCCAGTGCGGTGCCATGGGGGCTGCATCTTCATCTGCTGCTGCAGACCTCCCGCAGCCACATGTACGAGTAGCCCATTCACTCATTCATTTGGTTGATTGGTTTCATCCATTGATCCATCAGATGGTGCCGTCGTCCCACGAGCGCTACAAGACCGGCACGCGTGTGTGGATGGTGACGGCCAATCGAGAGAAGGGCGGGCAGGAGTGGGTCAAAGCCGACGTCTACCGCACTGAGGAGACCGGCGGAGGGACGAGGGTGTCGATGAGGGAAGTAGCGGGCAGAGAGGTGTTCACTGTGGTGGTGCCGCACCAGGCCAACACATCGCCGCACGGCCAACAGGTAGGCATTCTGATGTGCCCATCGGTCCGGTGGCTGCTGATCCACCTTTTGTGTGTGTGTGTGTGTGTTGTGGTGTGTGCAGGTGCATGAGGGCTTCACATTACTTGAGAGGGCGCCACGCGATCAGTCCAACGGCAACACGGTACACACACACAGACAGCCACAGAGAACAGACACACACAGACAGCCACACATATCTCTCATTCTGCCGCCTTTCGCCTCAGCCCGGCCAGCACGTTGGCCTGTTCGACCTGCCACCGGAGGTCGAGCGTGACGTCTTCTTCGCCTGCTCGGCCCCGATGGCCTCGCCCGCCTCCGCCGCACCTGCACACACGGCAGCCGGCGCGTGTCGGAGGCCTATGTCAAGACGCAGATCGATGCACTTCTCGTCGCCAAAGGCCTCAAGGACATTCTCAGCTACGACCTGCCATCCGTCGGCCATCTGCTGCGGCTGCTGGACATCATCCAGCAGAGCGACGAGTGGGCGGCGACGGTGGCGATCGTCAGGGTGGCCAAGCATCAGGGGTGGAGAGGCGGGCAGCTGCCGATAGAACTGGGCAGTGCTGATGTGGAGGGGGTGGGCAGCCGGGCGGTGTTCGAGGGGCGGTGTGAGGCGCTGCGCCAGCTCTCACTCATCAAGCGGCACATCAACATCGCTCTCGAGCGCCGCAACAGCGGTGTGGAGCTGCTGGATGGGCGTCGACTGACCATCCGCACCCGGCACACACTGCCGGCCAACAGCCCCTTCCGCAACGGATACGACGAGGCCAATCCCGTGTGTGCGTATTATGGTGAGGGAGAGGGCGCAGAGCTATAGCAGGGGGACCATTTGTTTGCGTGTGTGTATGTCTTTTCGCAGATGCCGACTTTGCTTCAGTTCGCGACGCTGTGTTGTATGCATGAGAAGATGCATAGAACGACACACGCGGACACATAAACACAGTGGCTGCACCGCTCTGCCGTGGTCTGTCTGATCAGGATGCGTTGGGGAGGATCGGAGGTCGCGGATCGAAGGGTACTCCGGTCCAACGATGCCACACGCCACAACCGTCTGGTCAGCAAGGAACACATGAAGAGCCTCACCAACTGCCCCACTCACTCACTGTCATATCTCACCTTCTCTCCAGCGGCAGCTCGCCACTCAGCCGCCGCCCATCTGGGGCTGCCACACCACCAGCACCAGCCACTGGCCGGCAGAAGGATCCTTCTACCGAGTGATAGTGCTGCATGGCGATCAGCCCGGCCAGACATTCGCGGCACACATCTCCATCTTCAGCACCCCCACCGTTGCCGCCGCCTCCCTCTACACGACGGAGCCTCCGGTCATGGGGGTCGGAGCCGCCAGGTTCCCCCAGACAGTGAGGCGGGTGCGGCAGGTCATGGGAGCCGACGCACAAGTGGTGTTCGGCAACCAGCTAGACGTAGCCGTAGACTAACTGGCTAATCTCTCAAGTCTCGAGTGAACAGAAAGCCTCCCTGTCTGTCTGGCCATTGCCGCAGGTGTGTTTGAGAGACTGACAGCTCTGTTGGTGGACGGTGTGTGTGTGTGATGGGGCGGAGCGGCGGCGTGTTTGAGTGGGGTGATAGACTGCCTGTGTGTGTGTGTGGGTAGATGAGTGTGTGGCAATGCATTGGGGACTCTCTCTCTCTCTCTCCGGACACATATATCCCATTCTTCTGTCGACATATCGTCAGACGCCGAAGTAATAGAAAGGGCCCTTTGAAGACAGACACACAAATCACACACATCTCGACACATATACACACGCGGCTGCAGCTGTAGGCGTCACAGCCGACAGCCGGCGCTCCGCAGCCATCCATCCGTCCATCCATCCGGCACCACCTCTGATTTGTGGCAGCAGCATTGGGGTCTCTTCATCAGCACCTTGCTCTTGATGCCCCGCAACTCTGACAGACAGACAGACAGATAGAAACACACACAGACATGGCTTTGGTTGGCGGACCGTCCGTCCGTACCAGCGCAATTGCTGGGCGCTAGGGAGAGGCTTGCTGTAGCAGCAGAGACGCCACATCGGCATGGGCCCCACCACACACACACACACAGAGGCATGATCTTAATCCACACACGTACCCAGATTCATTTCACAGATTGTGCTGCTCAACTTATCTGTTTGTGGACCACAAGCAAAAGCATCCGCGGAGTGGGCATGGAGGGAGGGGGAGGTGTGTGTGTGTGTGGTGTGAGGGGTCTGCTGGCTGTTGCCGCGTGTGGGGTGGACAGCCGCCTGACTCCTCTTCGTGTGTGTGTGAACAATGGCTCTCATTCAACTGCTTGTGCTTGATGACCACACCGGCAGAGAAACGCCCCCTGCCCATGCACCACCCACTCATTGCCTTCATTGCATGGTCAAGGTCTTCACCGCAGGCCAGGCAGCATGCAGCTCCTCATCTCTCATTCACGCGCACGTCTCTCTATCCCACCACAGTTAGCCGGCAGCCTTGCTGTGTTTCCGCTGTCTGTCCTTTCCAACCAACCAACCCCCCCGTCGGCCGGCCGACCTGGTGGCTGTGTTGCCGGTGGTCAGCCGAGCAAAAGGCGGAGTCAGGCAGGCAGCAGAGAAGAACGATTCAGGCCCCACACACTATCAGCTTGGTTATGAGCAAAACAGCCCACCGAAGTGTCAACACATGCGGACCATCCATCCATCCATGCATCCATCCACCCACCTATGCACACAGACAGACTGTACAAGAGCAACACGTGCGGCCACCCGCCCCGCCCCGCCCCCCACCCCACCCACTTGACTCACTTGGCAGCCAGCTGCATGGTGAGACGGTGCCGTTCCTGACTGACTTGCTCACATGACCCGCCCGTCATGGTGTAGAGCGCCTTAGTACGATCGTAGCACTCCCACGCGAATGAATGGGCGGCCTGGAGCCTCGACGCCCCGTCCTCTCCCTCCAACTCATGATCACGCAGCGTTGCAGTGAGGTCGACACTCGCTGGGCGAAGTGTCGACACCAGCTGCAGAAATGACTGCACACCTGCCTTGCTAGGCCACTCATCCACGAGGACTCCATCGGGATGGGGGGGAACCAGGCGCTCTATGGGAGGCGAGCGAAAGTTCCACTCCGCTGGCACACTGGCTGGCCACTCGCGAGACAGAGGTTCGGCTATCTCAACCTCATCTAGCTGCCCCACAGACACATACGATAGCAGCTCACAGCCAACGGCTAAGCTAGACAGACAGCGGAAGGCGACCCTCTTGAGAGCCCTCAGCCCCCCGACAAGACGGCTCAGCTTGGATGGGGCAGAGGGCAGGTCAGAGAAGGAGAGAAACTGGAAATACATGTCCAGTTGCTCGACAGCCGGGAAGCATCGGCTCGCGGCGATCTGCCCCGCTCCATCCCTCTCAGTCAGCCACTCGGGGATGCTCGCGACCACCGCTGAGGTACTGGCGCCATACACGGGCTGGAGGCTGAGTGATTTGGCGTTGGGGAAGATAAGCTTGTCACGCCATGACGGGTGGAGGGGGCTGCCGCCCAGCCTCAAAGTAACCTGCACAGGCACAAAGGACGCACACTCATTCGCTGCTTTGCCTGACGTCCTCTCTTGCCTCCCCTCCTTACACTAGTCGCCTTGGCCACGAGCTGTCCAACGACCTCCCCAAACACGCCATGAGGTGCAGAAGAAGCAGCACTCGCTTCCTCGCTGCAGTCGATGACCAACTCGCCTGCAGGCCGCCACTCCAGCTCACAGTTCACCTCTGCCGCCCACTTGCTGGTGACCCCTAGGTCGGCCGCCTCCTCCCTGCAGTCCGCGCCGATGATCGTGCTAGACACGACGAGCCCCAGCTTCTTCCGCACAGCTGCAAATTAGAAAAGGACGGAGCAGGAGAATAAGACGCGTTGAGGTCTGACTCAGCTCTTCATTAAGTCACCTTTTTTCTCTGGTTTGGCCCAGTGACGGTCGAGGGCCTGCTTGAGCGCATTGAGGCGGCCGAACCCGACATCCAGGCCGGCGATGGTCTTGATCTGCGGGCAGCGGCCGAGGGCAGCGGTGAACTCACCCCACTTACTGTCGTCACACCAGATACGCTCGGCCTCCAGCCGCTCGATCGCGGGCGCCGTCTCGACAAGGTGCATGAGGGACGCCAATGACCCATTCCACTCGGGAGCTGACCCATCCCACTGGGCAGGATTGCTGACTCGAAGACTCGTGAGGGCTGGGAGGGCCCACCGACGGACGCTGCACGCCAGCAATCAGCACAACGACGTATGTTATGTGTCAGGTAAACAATTGTTGCTCTCCCTTGTCTGTGTCGGTCGATACGATGCAGTACCTGATGTGGTCGAGCCACACGTTGGACTGAATGTTCATATGTGTGAGGCTGGGAAAGGGTGTTGCGACCCCGGCAGGGCGCGCCGGTGGGATGGGTGTGCCGTCTTTATCTACGTATGTGTCGCCGTTGTGGACCTTGTCGTCAGGCGACACGTACAGCTCCTTTAGCGTCGCTGAGGACCTCTCGAGCAGCTCGACCACACACGGCACCACACCGGACGCCTCCACATGTGCTGTCCGGATCTTGCCCTGCACACACACAGAAAGACAGGGGTGATCAAATCAACAAATGTCGCGCACTCCACTCCCCATCTCACCAGGTGCTTCAAGTCCTTCAGCTTGCGAATGGCCTGGTATTTGGCCTCCTCGTCCTTCGTCATACTGAAGTGCCGGAATACGCCGAAGGTGTCGTCGGTGGCCTTCTGGCGGGTCTCCTTGTTGACGCGCGTCAGGCGAGCTGTCGCCGTCCTCGTCGTCATGAACGACCCCATGTGGCCCATGACGCCCTCGGGCAGACCAGGCAGACACGGCCGGCCGTAATCCTGACACACACACACACAACAGAAGGAGAAGGCATGTATGCGCTGGAGATGGTCTTATCTATGTGTGTTTCACCTGTGTGAGCTGGCGAGACTGCGCTCCCCGCAGTCTCGCTGCTGCTGCTGCTGTTGCATCAGATGCGCCAATCGAACAACCTGAAGGCGCGATGATAACGATGTTTGCTGCCTTTGGTGGGCCGGTGCTCATGCGTACCTCCATCACTACTGGCAGCAGCAGCACCAGCAGCAGCAGGCGAGCTGGTCCCGACCCGTGAGCGCTTCCCATCACCAACAGACACCTGATCCCACGAGATGGTCCATTTCGCGGATGCACCGTATCCTTGTGTGAGCACGTGCATACCGCCTTGCTGTGCTGCGCTGCCCTGTCGGTCTCGTCCGAACTCTCAGACACGCCCGCCGTCCGACTGTCGCTGACATTGTACAGCCACCGAAACGTCTTGCGGTCACCGCCCTTTCGCTGAAATGGGCAGACGCAGACAGATGCAGGTCAGTGACCAGCTCGTGTGTGCCCTCCTATTGGTCGCTTCATCCTACTGTTGTGTTGTGGTCGACGCTGGGAATCTGTGCCAGCTCGTCGCTGAGCATCGAGTCGACGTCTGTGAGAGTCTTCAGGACACCAGACAAACGGCCAGCCAACGTTGCACAGCCCTGCAAAGTACACAGGAATGAGTGAGTGTGGGCACATGGCTGGCTGCATGTATGTGTGTGTGTTTGTGCTGACCTGTTTATTGGAGTCGGCATGTGCTATCCTCACCTTCGCCGCCTGAGAGCTCTCGGCCATCCGTGAGGTGACCTGCGCACCGCAGAGCCAACAATCGAACCGCTGCAGTATATGGGGCAGCTTGCCATCCCTCCCCTCTCTATCTTTCTCTCACCGAGTGTATCTTGTCTATGACATCCCGCAAGCTATCCTTATCGCCACCTGATCCTCCGCCCTCCTCCCCTGAATGCATCACACCATCACCACGCACAAGGCATGACACTATTGGCGGCTGACGGCCATCAGTCGACGTGTGGTTGCATGTGTGAGTGTGTCATCACCTCGTGAGGGCGCCGGGCCGCCATCGCTACTGACGTCCATCGTCGGCACAGATCAACCACCTGCACCAAAGGAGAAGGGCGAGGGAGATGAGATCCATCCATCCATCCATCCATCCTTGTGTGTCTGGCTCACTCCTCAGGTGGTAGCCGGCGGCCTCCACACAGCTGCAAATGACATATCGTCAAGAGAAGAGGCCCGATGCCGTCAGCGCTGCCGCCAGCCGTCTGTAAAACCTCAGCCTCTCATCAAATCTGACAGAGTATCACACGCATCCATCCAGGGGGGTGAGCCATGTGCGTCTGTCGTTGCTGTATTGCCTTCTGGCTATCTCAGCGATGCATATGCCACTGGCTCATGCATTCATTGGGATATCTATCGTGTGGCCTTACCGATGAGAATGGAATGAAGGCTGGAGGCATCTTCAGCTCACGGCAGTGCCAAATTATAAGCCATTTGTTCTTGTTTGTTGATGGCTCGAAGGCGTCGAGAATTGGGGACAAACCCGCCCTCCAAACCCTACGAGACGCCATATTTGAATTTTCTGGCATTTTGACCGCTGCTTCCTGTCACCGCTTCCCTTTCCACTGATGCCCCGTACTGCAGCTGCAGCCCGAGGCCTTCTTTCTGTGTCTGAGAGGGAAGGAGGACAATCGTGACAACAACGACAAGACGCTCAGCGGATGCGGGCTTTCGGCCGACTGCTGGCCATTCATGAAGCCACTTGTTTTTTGAGGGCAGCGGAGGCCGGCCACGATTACCGGAGCCGGCACAGAACACACGCACGAGTGCTACGTCCTGGCTAACGCTCTGGCTGACAAGTAATGAGAATCCGAAAGGTCCGGCATGTGTCATTCACTTTCATCTCTGTGTGTGCAGTCGGTGTTCCTCTGCTCGGCAACGGCGGCGGCTCACCGACTTCCACGGCGGCAGCAGCGGCAGCCAACCGGAGCCTAAGGATGCCGAAGTGCGAGTACGTTGTGGGCTGCGTGGAAAGTGAGTCAGGGGAGCCGCTGTACCATCGTCTGGACAGCAAGATGTGCGGGCAGCTCACCAATGAGCTGTGGTACATCCACATCGACCGGAAGGTGAGAGAAGATGGGGAGGGAACGGATGTTGGGACGGCAGGGAGAAAGAGTGGGACGCGCCGCCCTTCCACACCGTGACCGACACAGACAGTCGAGACCGCCATCCCTTCGCACGCCTGTGTAGTATGGAAAGCTACTATTCCGTGCGTTTGTTCGGGGACTGCATTGAGGAGCGGGCATGGTGCCATCGTCGTGGTGGCGCTGCTGACCGTGCTGCTGCTGCTGCTGCTGTGGGTGTTGCGGCTGCTGTGGGCTCTACACGCGGCACACATGACGTGGGAGGAGGGCGTTGAGGCCGCGAAGAAGGTCATCAAGCTCCTGTTCCACATCAAGGAGCTGCTGAGCAGCCACCCCAAGGCCGCGGTCAGCAAGGGCGACGACAAGTAAGGTACTTACATGTAGCTGAACGTGCGACAGAGAAGGTGAGAGGGTGTTTCTTGCTGAATGGACCTTTGTTGTGTCTTGCAATAGGTGATGTCCGATTGGCAGTCGCGGCCCACGTGCACACACACGCACAGACACGCCACGTGCACAGCACAGGCGCGAGCCGATGCACTGCACTTGGGTGGTCCATTTGTTTGGGTGGATGGGGGCTGGCTCCATTTGTCCTCATTGATTTGTGTATCTTGGCAGTACACACACACACAGATGGAGAGAGAGAGAGAGAGAGAGAGAGCATTCCTCCGTATCGACGCTCGCGGTTCATGAGTGCATTACACTTACATGAGAGTATGTTTCGATGCATGTTCTGAGTGATGGTGAGGCAGGAATGACTCATGGGGGGTCGTGAGCCGATAGCTGTTCCGCCCTTGTCCACTGTTGTGTGTCCATGTGGATCATGTCGAGGACAGCGGTGGTGGTGGGGGTGGCGTCGATGCACACATGGCTAACGACGTAGACGAGTACGGAGAATGAATCGCCAGTGCGCACAGTCACTCTTGTTGTCGTTTTCAGGTTTGGTTTGGATGAGGCCGAGGAGGAGAAGGCCGGCCGCTACGACGATCGCATGCAAGAGAAAGGGTTTCAGCAAGACGATAGGTGGAGACAAAGGGCTGGTTGCCTGTCACTCACGGTCATCCTTTCTGTGTGTCTGTGTGGGTTCAGTATTGGAGCTACTGACTCTCCCACGACTCCAACATGCCACAATTCACACAAACATGATGTTGGTCAGGTGCATTGACCGCTCCGGTACCCAATGGATCACCTTCGGGCAGCCTTACATAGCCTTACATTCATCGGCAAGGTGCCTAACTAAAGAGGCGGAGACAAATGGATGCTTACTTTACTGTCATCCCCTTGCCTTCAGGTGGGCGGGCGAGATGCCGTGCTCGATAGAACAAACTAAAATAATCCTTTACGGTTTGAGAGCGATCCCGTAAGTTCATGAGTTCACGGATTGTGTTGAGTGTAGGCGTGGTCCTGGGCATGTTGAGAGAGGCTACGAGAGCTGCTGCAGTACTAAATGTTGACAGCCAGACTGTAATGGTCAACAGGTAGGTCCCCAGCAACCACAATGCGCATGCCGCCTTTGTCTGTGTCCACCTGTGATGCAGATCGAAACACATCATCCACGTAATAACTTCAGACTAGGCTCAAAGCTCTTTTCTTCCTCCGTCCTTGTTATTGTACAGGCAAACACGGACTGCGATACCATGATTGATCTCCAGTCGTGTGGTCTGCCATAATGCAGCACCGGCTGTATGAGAAATACATCAGTGGAAAGGTCGGCGACAGACAGCTTTTCCCCCGTCACGCTGTCCCATTGAATGCATGCAGCTGGACCAGGAAGAAAAAAAAGACCTTCGAAGACGCAGCCAAAGCAGCCGGCATCAGAACTGTCTCCCTTCTGCAAGCCGAGAAGGTAAGATCGCAGAGAGCTGCCAGAGACGTGTACGTCACATGCGGGTGCGCATGCAGACGTATACCAATTTCATGCGGCGGATCGAGAAGATGAAACTCATTATCAGTCATGAATGGTACGGGCCCATGTTGACGAATGTGTCGACTCATGGGATGGTTTTTGAGGAAATTGAACCGATACAGGCCGCTCGATCTCAGCAACCAAGCGAAAGAGAGTGTGAAAATCATCCCTGCCGGAGGTGTCCTTTCTATTCACATGAGACACGCTTCACTGTCTGGTCTTTTATGGATGTAGCCACATGCCCGCTATGCTTTTCTTCAGACATCTTCTCGGGAGAACAGGGAACAGCTGGTCAGTCTCCACCTGTGGGTTTCTGCAAACGACGAGACATTCGCTTCATATGTGATTCAGGTCGGCGCCGCGCGAACAGAGACTAGTGTGCGGCTGCACTGTGTTATCAAATGACACACCCTCTCTTTTCTGCAGGTTTGTTTTGTATCGAACGAGACAGTGCACAACGTACGAAGGTCGACGATCTTCTCGATAGACTTTTCCTCCACCATCCGTGACGCTTTCAGGCGACACGCCAAAGGTACACACACAGACTTACACACCTACACACAGACACGCCACGTGCACAGCACAGGCGCGAGCCGATGCACTGCACTTGGGTGGTCCATTTGTTTGGGTGGATGGGGGGCTGGCTCCATTTGTTTAAGATCCTTGTTACTGAAACGGCTTCCATCGACACAGGTAAGCCGTCATTGTTCTCTTTTGGTTCAGCCATCATTGTTGTCTCTTTCCTTGTGTCTCAGCGATGTGCTTCCAGCAGCGTTTGATGCCGCATCGCGGGCGGGACCGTCGGGTTCCGCAGAAAGAAGGAAGGGAGAGTATCGCTGTCTACATTTTATATTCGTTGATCGTGTGCCTTCACTGACTCGGTCTTTCTTGGTTGGCATGCAGTGCAGGACCTTGAGAGTGTTGAGTTGGCAAATAGTTATCCTTCTCTCCTGCCTCACAAAGCCGCGCGAATAAAAGCATACACATAGAGGCAGCCTATGCACAGCCAATGTGATGTCCAACCAAGCACGTATGTATCGAAAAGCCGACAATGAGAGACCGACAGACTCCAGTGCAAGTCATGAAACAGTCTGTCTCACGTGTCTGTGCCTGCCGTTGCGCTATTTGGAGTCCACAGCTTCCGCTGCCTCCGCCTTCGTTGGCGCCGGGGAAACTGCAAAGGAGCAACTTCTTTTGCTGCGTTGTGTCTCTCCAGGTCTTCCATTGCAAATCCCGTCATCGACTGTCCACTGACCATTTCAGTCACTTACAAGGCAGACATTACAAAAAGAAAACCAACCAGGCACCAGACACCGCCACTACAATCGCAACCCTTCTGTCTGTTGGTTGGTTGGCCGTCTGCGGTGGTCGGTCACTCTTGCAAAAGTAAAAGTACCTTTAGTCATCCATCCTTGAACCTCTCACCAAGGTGGATCTGTATCTCGCTCGAGTCAACATCGGTCACTTGGCACCAGCCTGTTTGTTTCGAATCTCGGCCAGCTTGGTGAGGTCGAACTCGATGTAGAGGGGGAAGTGGTCCGAGGGATTCTCACCCTGCGACACACACACACACACACACACAAATACAGAGACAGAGACAGAGACAAAGACAAAGAGGGAGGGAGGAATTCGTTGCTTGCAATGAGCACGTGTTGGCTGCATACTCACCCTCCCGATCCACTCGTCCTTTTTGGTGGGATCGCGGCGTCGCGGCGGCTTGATGAAGGGCAGGTGCGCGTCTTTGTAGGACGCTTTTACGTCTTTGTAGGCCGCTCTGTGGTTGAGCGGCTGCACCTTTGTAATGGCTTTCCAGAGGTTCTGGCTCACCTGAAATAGCACGCACACGAACATTTCAGGTAGTCATCAAAGCAGCCGTCCGTGTGGTTTACTTACGAGTATGTGGTCGAGGAGGGAACGCGCTCCACTCCACGTGTAGCTGCAGATGGATGCCAGACAATGAAGGGGGCACATGTGCTCGCTGCCCGCAGCAAGCTGTGTTTGCGGCTTAGATGCGGTGAAGGTTGAATAATTACGTACCTAAATTTGCGCCACGTCTGCACTCCTCCGTATTTGGGGAACTTGCCAATTGCGTTGGTGAGCTGGTGGGTGGTGTTAAGCGCTGGCTGTGGGCGCCGTACTTGATGATGGGAAACACCCATGAGGTGGCCCAAGGCTTTACACACACACACACACACACAGAGAGAGAGAGAGAGAGAGATGCATTGGTATGCTGCGGCGATCCGTTGAATGGCGATAAGAGACATTTGTTTCATGTCTCACCGATTCCTCCTCGTCACTAAGGCTGGTGGCCAGATCGAGGAATGATTCATTTCCAGCAGCGAAGAGCCCAGGTAGCATGAACTCCTCCTCAGGTTCTTCTTCTTTCTCATGCTCTCTGACATACAACACAACACAACACAACACAGCACAGCAGAATACGACACTGGTCCTCCTTTCTTTCGCTTGCTGCCTCCCTTCGTAGTCAGTCCACTGACAGTGGTGACGCTCCGGCAGCCCTCTCAGCTTCAGCCTTTTTCGCAGCTTTCTTTGCCATTGCCTTCTCTATCTTGGCCGCTGCTTTGGCCGCTCTTTTCTCCTGCTTCTCCTTCTCTTTCTGCAGCTCTGCCTCTAGGTCTGCCTGCTCCTTTGCCTCAATCTCCGCGACGAACTTGTCGTAGTCAATGGTCTCTTTGACCTTGGGCAGGTACTCCTGAGGCGACGCATCACACACGGCAAGAGAGGCAGACAGGTGAGCGTCACATACAAAGAAGTGTTCGGTGTTGGTCGAATGCTTCTTTACCTCGGAGAATGCATCGAAGCCTTCCATTGGCAGCTTGTATGGGTGCGTCGCGTTTTCTTTCTTCTGGTGTCGGGCATCACGCGTGTAGGGCTGCTGATCGTCGTAGTCATTGAAGTCGCCCTGCAGAGGGTGACACACAGATGTGTTGAAGAGCAGACAAGGCATGGTGGCGCTGCTTCCATTTCGTGGGCAAGGGAGGTACCATGATGATGATCTCATGGTCTCCCGGTATGTCGCTGCATACAGACACAGAGGCACAAGTATCCCGATGTCGACAGGTGTTGCGTGCTGCTGCAGCTGTGTGTGCCACTGACTCGATGAGCTGATCGAGCAGGACGGCTTCGACCTCTCGATACATACACGCGGACTAGCCTGCAAACGTAGGCACACAGACACACACATTGGACACACATATCCAAAGGTCGGTCCGCCTTCCCTTTCAGTCCAGCTGCTGTGTGTGCATACGTGTGGGGATGCTCTTAAGGTGGATGGTGAGTATGGTGATCGGGATGCCCTTGACGTTGACGTCCATCCGGGCGACTTTGTTGAGTCCGATGCCTTCCCGCTCTTCTTTGTAGTTGAATTCCCTGCCGCGTTCGACGCCGCTGAACTGGCAGGGACAATTGGCAGATCGATCCACTCATCGGCGATACAAACGAAGCACCTGCCACCTCACCTTTTGGCACAGGGGGTTGACTGTCGCCGGGAACTCACTTCCCGTCATACTCTTTCGCCTGCAGCAAAGGTCAGCGGAGCGACACTCATGGCAAATGGGCGTATGCGTGACTTATGTGTGTACGTGGTTGTAATGGGTTCGACTGGATTGATTCTGCTGAGAAAGCCCACTTGCTGGTAGCTGCGGAAGTCGTTCCCAGTGATGTGATAGGGAACTTTACCCCAAAGTCATGCACCAAGACAATGGGTAGCGATACGTATCCATGTTTGAGCGATTGTTGTGTTTATATGGAGACACGGCCTTGTGTATACACCTGCATACCGAAGCCATTGCGATCGAGGCCCGACAGATCCAACAAGTCTTTTAAAACGTGGCAGCCGTCGATCTGCATGACATACGCACAAACACATCCACACGAAACAGCGCGGGAAGCGCATTACATACGCAAGGCCTCACCTCTGACAGCGAGATTACATCCAGACCGTCTCCGTGCTCCTTGGTGATGTTCGTGTTAAAGTAGCTGAGCCATCTCGCCACGTCGTTGATCCGGTTCCACCGTCATTGCCGCAGTACAACAAAGCACTGTACTTGGCATTTGCAGCTGATTGATGCATGCTTACCTGATTGATGCATGTCACGCCCTGGTTTTTGGATGTGCCCTTGCTGACGTCCTTGGCGACCTTCTGGACTTGGGAGGCGTACCACTCCCACCCGTCCGGCTTTGGCGCCTTCCCGCCGCACGACTGTTGGTGCTTCGTCTTCGGTCTCTTCCCGTTAGCTGGGTGCTCGAATTCGGGTCTCTCGGTGCAGTCAGCGACGTTTTGCCAGAAGACTGGGCACTGATATACCTTGTTTTTCAGCTGCTCGTCCTCAACCTGCCAGCTGGCGCGAAGGGACGCGGGCGAGAACATCCACATGATATTCTGCGCCGGGAACACATGCATGCACAGCAGGAGTGTCGCACCCACGCTGTGATGCATCCAAGCGTGAACACGAACCCAGTGCAAAATTCGGAGTTTGTCATCGGTTTTCTCGTATGAGACAAGCTTGTTGTTCTCGGGGCATTCCTCCTTGGGCGGTTTGGGCAGCTCCGGCTGCTCTTCGAGCCTCAGGGCGCAGGAGTGCTCAATTGTTTCGGCGGACGAAAGGCAGACCAGAAAGGCCGAGACAGCCGCGAGGAGAAAAACAGGGGCGCTTGACATCATCATGGTCCGCCACTCCAGGTGTCTCCGAGTTGAGACGGGCCCCCAGCCCGCGATCGCCCCCCCCCC